ATACAAGAAAACGATAATGAGTGGAGCTGTCTTAGACATTGGACACTGAATAGTGAACAAAGCTGTTGAAAACTTTGCCCTTCAGGAACATCTGTATTTATGAGTTTTGCTCACATCATTCACGATTTTCCCCATAGCTTTACTAAGAAAGACGGAATGAAGACAACTGAGTAGTCTTGATAGGAAAGCTGAACACAGAGAGAAGGTTCTGCCTGGAGTTTCTCTTACTGATCAGAAGAGTATCCTGTTCACGGCTAGGTTCAGTGGCTCACACCTGTAATCCCAGCACTTTGGGAAGCCAAGGAGGGCAGATTGCCTGAGCCCAGGAATTCCAGACCAGCCTGGGCAACATGGTGAAACCCTGTCTCTACAAAAACTACTAAAGTAAGCTGGGCTTGGTGGTGTGTGCCTGTAGTCCCAGCTACTTAGGAGGCTAAGGTGGGAGGATCACTTGAGCCCAGGAGTTGGAGATTGCAGTAAACTGAGATCACACTCCTGTACTCCAGCCTGGGTAAACCAACCAGACCCTACATTAAAAAAAAAAAAAAAAAAAAAAAAAAAAAAAAAAAAAAAGAGTATCCTGTTCCCTAGCTCTGTCTGTTCCCAAGAACAAAGGAGAACAAGTTGCAGCTTTGCCACTGACCTGATGTGTTCTGTTCATGTGAGCAAGTCATTTAATCTTTCTCAGGGTGTTTCTCATTTGCAAAATGAGAAGTGCAGGTATTATATTACATTCTTGTTTGATTTTTTTAAAAATTGTATTCTAGAAAAGATTGGAATTCCTCCAGAATACTTCTCTGATTCTGTAAACATTTTATTGGAATTTTACGTTATTTATTTATAAATACTTTATTTTCTAAAAAGTCAATAAAAAGCACATACCATAAAATGGACTATTTAGTACACTAAATGTTAATATATTAGAGGCTATATGGGTTAAGATTTGTCCTTAATAATTTATTTAATTATAAGAAAAAAATGCCATACAGCTGAACTTACAAAATAAGATACTAAGTTTTACTTTGCTCTGTTTCATACAATGCAGTTCCACATAAAAGTGGAAAATAGAGTCCCATAAAATGACTTTGCAATAGTATTTCATTTTAATATAAAAGTTTATAGTATTTAATTTTAATATAAAATCAATTATATGATGTTGGCATTCATATCTTACAGACAGAATGTAAAGAAACTGAGGTTAGAAAGGTACAGTAACTTGCTAAGGTCATCTGACTTATAATAGCAGATCCAAAATTTAAACTGAGATCTACAAATATATGCTTTTACTACCACACTAATTATTTGTAGGAGCTCTTATTAAGATAACCACTATATTAATCTCTTTTCATCTGTCGTATGTCACACTACCTCTTATTATTGAAGGGTGTCAGCTGAGAAGTTTGATGGTTGAATTCCAATGTAAATGACTTCTCAAGAGACAGGTCAAATAAACTGCCATGATTTTAAATAAAAATTTATTCATCTCTTCCTGTTTCAGGTCAATAATCAGTTGCAAAAACTACATTGCTTGTTGGATTCATCCACCTCCAATGATATGTTAGATGATCAATGGCCAGTCACTCTCTAGATCTCAGGCTCAGTCTGTCTCACATGGTGAGTTACCACACTGACCCCTCCTGACCTTGGAAAGAAATGTGGTATGAAGATGAAAGATCATGATATTTGAAAGGCTTGGAGAGGTGGTATCTAACACATGCCTTTCATGACATCTGGGGACCAACTTGGTTGCTCTCCCACCCTCCCTCAGGTCACTCTTACACATTATAGCTTCAAGAAGATAAAGAATGCAGGACCTTGGGTTGGACCACAGATTGCTTGAGTCATCTCCCAGATCATTTATGATCGTGCTATCAGGACCATCTAAATGACTCAAGAGGTCCTGTTCTAGCTATAGGAGACAACTATTATTGGTAATTAATAACAATAATGATGCCATTATTGTCATGTAAGGGAACCCTGCATTGCCTCTATGCTAGTGATTGTACTTTCTGCTCTTCATCCTCACAGTCACTACACACTCTATACTTTCGATGCAGTCCTGCACATTCTATATGTCTGCTCCTCTTGAACTAGGCCCCTCTCACACATAAGCAATCATTTGCATTGTGACCACAATGACATTTCTAAAGAATAGACATGCTGTGCCACTTTCCTGGGGAATTTCTGCAGTGACTCCTTCTACATCTACATTCCTCAACCTTGCATTCAAGGTCTTCATAATCTAGTTCCAGTCTACTTTTCTAGAAAATTTTACCATTATACTTTTTGTACCTTAAATTCCAGTCTTGATTTAAAACTTAAGCACACAATTCTAAAATTACCATTTTTATACTCCATGGTGCCTAAAACAGTGCCTGATTTGGCATAAGCACTGGTACTTAAGTGTTGACGAAAATGGTTGATGAATAGGTATGGTCATTGTTAACAGTAAATACCAATTCTTATTTAAACTTTTAAAACATTAAACTGTAGTAGAAAAACAGAGCATGGAGTTATAGTGCCATAATAAATCTCGGTCTCAAACCTCCTTAGAATTTTACTTGATTGATATAACAATAAGTAAATATTCAGTAGATCAGGAGACTTAAAGGAATTTGGTAAATATTCTCAGGTCCAATATTTAAGCTGCGAATTCATGCCTGGAAATTTGTGAAAAGTGGCTTCCTAAATCGTAAATGCCACATTTGCTGTTTTCTGCAGCTTGATCAGCTTGCGGTTGAGCAGCACAATTAATAGCTACTATTTTCATAATGCATGTGAAAAGTAATATTTTGTCTCGCTCTGTGGGTGGCATTAAGCTAGGAAAACACTCTACTTGGCATTATCCTGACACCAATCAATGAAGTCATCAGGCAAATGAAACTACTTTTGTGATAAGCAGCACAGTAATCGAAAATTGTCATTCTTTCTTTTCCCCAGGAAAACCTGAAACTTTCATTTCAACATTTTTTATATCCCCAGGAAGAAATGAATATTTATAAAACAAGAAAAGGGCACCATCCAGGTGTCATTTTTCTCAATGAATTATACACAATGAAGGATAATAAAACAGTTTCAATGTAAACTCTAGTTGCTGCCATTTAGCACTAATTGTTTAGGCATTTATTCAGTTCTACAGGCAAATGTATAGGCAATAATGTCAGAGAGGAATGTATCTTGGTACATTTGGAAGCAATAAACCGGGCAAGTAAGAGCTTTCTTTTCATTAGAGTCCAGCTGTTAGTGGGTAAAGATGATGACTGAGTGATCCAGGTTTGTGGGCTGGACCAAAGGGCTGGAATCACCAATCAATTGAGGATAAATCTGTGATACAAAGCAGGATTCATTTTACCCTAAAGGAGTTGAAAGCAGAACTCCAGATCAACATGGTTAAGTGAACATACAAGTTTAATGCTCTCTCGTAGAATCACACTGGATCACAAAAAAGTTAATGTGAAAAAAACAAAAAACAAAACAAAACAAAAAACCACATACACAACTGTGTCAAAAACACAGAAAGATATCTATGGAAGACCGCAACGGAAAATAACAAATTTCTAGATGATAGAAATTAAATAATGTGTGATTAATGAAGAAACTCATCAAGGATCAATTGATAGTAAAGAAAAACATCAATAAAAGAGAAGGACCGGCTGGACGCGGTGGCTCACGCCTGTAATCCCAACACTTTGGGAGGCCGAGGCGGGAGGATCATGACGTCAGGAGATGGAGACCATCCTGGCTAACACAGTAAAACCCTGTCTCTACTAAAAATACAAAAAACTAGCCAGGCGTGGTGGCGGGGCCTGTAATCCCAGCTACTCGGGAGGCTGAGGCAGGAGAAAGGTGTGAGCCCGGGAGGCTGGACACTGCATTCCAGCCTGTGCGACAGAGCAAGGCTCCGTCCGAAAAAAAAAAAAAAAAATGAGAAGGACCAAAATGAACAAAATATCACCTGACACTGGAGGATACAAGAAATTCCCATAAGCTCAAATGGAATTTTAAATATTTCTAATTAGTATCATCAGAAAATTTACAAGGAGTATTATATTCACAAAATGCAATGATACTCTGTAAAGAAAAGTAAGTACTGATTGATTCAAAAAGCAAAAATTGCAGTTCCTAAAATTTACAAAATATATACAAATTTTATATCAAAGTATACAATTTTTAAATCAATAAAAGGATGAAATAACAGATTGAAAGTAAATATGTATCAGATCAAATTAGTATTTTAATATATAAATGTAGGAAAATTTTTACAATATGGATAAAAAATATATGAGAAAATATTAGAGATCTGGAAAACAGATCCAGAATAGACTATTTATATTCTAGGCTAGAGTCCTATATTCAATTTGTTTTTATTTTAACAGGCAACGTGATGAAGATTAAATTTGTCAGTTTTGATTTTTAGTTTTGGAATAGATTTTCTTTCTGAGCCAGTGAAATTCTCCTTTTGAATTCATGTATTTATTTTATTTTATTTTATTATGGTCAGATAATCCTCTGTGAATATTTGCAATGTGTATTCTGTTTTGTAGATATACACTTGGCTGATAGGTAGACAGAAAGATAAAACAAAACTCATGCTGTTTTATTAGAAAAATTTATCAATTTTGAGAGTGTACTGTGTTTTATTTAGGATAAGCTAGGATATGCTGAGGTAAAAACTTTTCAACATTTTCTCTCTCCTTTGTATCTACTGTCTAATATGCCCTGTGTATAGGAAGGAACATGTCTAAGCTCCACCATAGCCACTCAAGACCCTGATGCAGAGGCCTGCTTTCTTGTGGCCACACCATGTGGAACATGTGGCCCTCACAGTTGATGGGACTGGTAAGATGTTGCTGAAGGATGATGTGCCAGCTTCTTCCATACTTCAGCCTGGAGGTAAGGTCTCATATTTCTGCCGACTGGCAATTTGCCAAAACTAGTTATATGATCCTACTTAAGTTAAAAGGCATCTAAGAAAGGTGAAAAAAAGCCCCTCCCTAGGTCTCTCATAAAGTCTGAGCCCCGCTCGGCTGAGGCCTGTCTGCAGAATCCGCACCAACAGGCACCATGCCCATGATCCTGGGGTACTGGGACATCCGCAGGCTGCCCTACTTGATTGATGGGACTCACAAGATCACCCAGAGCAACGCCATCCTGCGCTACATTGCCCGCAAGCACAACCTGTGTGGGGAGACAGAAGAGGAGAAGATTCTTGTGGACATTTTGGAGAACCAGCTTATGGACAGCCGCATGGAGATGGTCAGACTCTGCTTTGACCCAAATTTTGAGAAACTGAAGCCAAAATACTTGGAGGAACTCCCTGAAAAGCTAAAGCTCTACTCACAGTTTCTGGGGAAGCGGCCATGGTTTACAGGAGACAAGATCACCTTTGTGGATTTCCTCGCCTATGATGTCCTTGACATGAGGCGTATAGTTGAGCCCGGCTGCCTGGACGCCTTCCCAAACCTGAAGGACTTCATCTCCCGCTTTGAGGGTTTGAAGAAGATCTCTGCCTACATGAAGTCCAGCCGATTCCACCGAGGTCTTTTGTTTGGAACGACAGCCACGTGGAACAGCACATAGGGCCCCGTGATGCCAGAAGATGGGAGGGAAGAGCCGACCCTTCTGCCTGTGACCCTGGAGAACAGCCCGACTCCCTGGACCCACCTTCTTTCTTTCTCCTTGTTTCTACTCTCTTCTCTTCCCCAAGGCCTCATTGGCTTCCTTTCTTCTAACATCATCCCTCTGTGCATCAAGGCTCTTTAAAGCTTCAGCTCCCCACCGTCTTCCATCAAAGTCCCCCTCCTAACGTCTTTCTTTTCCTGCACTAACGCCAACCTGACTGCTTTTCCTGTCAGTGCTTGTCTGTTCTTTGAGAAGCCAGACTGACCTCTGAGCTCCCTAGCACTGTCCTCAAAGACCATCTGCATGCCCTGCTCCCTTTGCAAGGTCCCTACCCCAGCCCTGTGTGATGCCCAGTAAAGCCTGAAAAAAAAAAAAAAAAAAAAAAAAGAACGGTGAAAAAAATTGAAGGAAGATTTGTGATTTACACTCTTTCTACCACGGTGTTTTGAAGGGTTATGCTACGACTGGAGCACCACACAGTGGTTAAGACATCAGGTTCTGCAGTCACACTCCCTGGGTTTCATTTACTGTGTTAGCCAGCTTGGACTGCCATAACAGAATACCCTAGAATGGGTTGCTTAAACAACATAAATTTATTTTCTCATACTTCTGAAGGCTGAAAAGTCCAGAATCAAAGTGCCAGCAAATTCAGTTTCTGGTGAGTCCTCTCTTCCTGGCTTGCAGACAGCCACCTCTTTAGAGGCCTTATTTCCTACCTGCAAATACAGTCATATTGAGGTTTAGAGCTTCAGTATTTAAATTTTCAGGTGACACAATTCAGTAAATAGCACTTACATTACCTTCTCTGTGCTGTAGCTACAGAATAGAAATAAGTGAGATACCTACTTTATGTGGTTGTTATAAGAACAAAATATTTTAATACAAATATAGCACTTAGAATAGGGCCTAGCACTTAGTAAGTACCCAATAAATATTATCTATTAGCAAATTGTCATTTTTATGCATATGACATTTTAGACCTTCCATATTGTTGCAGTATGTTATTATTTACATGAAGTTTCCTAACCATCATATTCTTGGTGTGGATCATTAAAATAGCGATTTTAAATAAATCCCTTACATATCACTTGAACTGAGGGAGGAGAATGCCAGATAAATGCCTATGTGAATGAAAGAGTGAAGAGTTTGTTAAGAAACAACTTTAGCTAACAGTGGCAGGAGTAAGAGCCAGGCATGAAAAGGCTGACACCATAACTAAGCCACAGGAGTAGACAGGAATTCTGCGTAGAGCATAACAATTCCCTTAGCTTTGCTTCTCACTAAGCTCCCCCAGATTTATGTACCAACCTTATGTATGAGGGTGATTTATTTTAACTTAAATATTAAAGTACTGTTTTAATAAATGTCTAATCTTGTGGTGCAATACCACTAAATATTTCCAAATACAGCACACACAAAATAGGGCATCAGATTACAAAACACCATAACCCAGTTTTGGGCCCTTGTTCCTTAGGAGACATTCCCAGTAGGGTACCATGGACCCCTCACAGAAACTTGCTGGATAGTGAAAAGGTTTTGTGTGTTTACATCTCTTTGCCTCCTAAGTCACTTCTCTTGCAATTTTTTTCTTTGGCTCTAATTTTTTACTGAAAGCAATAATAAAAATATCAGCATTTAGCATCATTTGGGTGCCAGGCATCTGGCTTGACATTCTTTATATGTGGCATCATTTTCAGACACTTTCATTCTACTCTATAAACTACTTTTTTTTTTTTTTTTTTTTTTTTTGAGATGGAGCTTTGCTCTTGTTGCCCAGACTGGAGTGCAATGGCGTGATCTCGGCTCGCTGCAACCTCTGCCTCCTGGGTTCAAGCAATTCACCTGCCTCAGCCTCCTGAGTAGCTGGGATTATAGGCACTTGCCACCATGCCCAGCTAATTTTTGTATTTTTAGTAGAGACGGGTTTTGCCATGTTGGTTAGGCTGGTCTCGAACTCCCGACCTCAGATGATCCACCTGTCTCGGCCTCTCAAAGTGCTGGGATTACAGGCATGAGCCACCGTGCCCGGCCTCTATAACGTAATTCTATTTCCATTTTAAGGATAAGAACGCTGAAACTTGGTTTTACTTTACTACGCATTTTAGACTATGATTTGGACTAAGAACTGACCCCAAAGTCCATATCTTCCCCACTGGACTCCTGCCCCAGGTATATTCAGATAGCATATTAGTAAACAATAAGGTACAGTATATGAACAAAGTATTTTAATGTTTTGAACTCTGCTTATGAAATGCATTTTTTATAATTTTACTTGTTCTTAAGGGCTAAGTTAAGGTTTCAGGCCACTGAAAAAGGTTTCTGAACATTCAAGTCAGAAAACGAAATAAAACATGACTTAGATTATCTTGGTTGGATTGAATTTAGGGAAAATTCTCCTTGGAGCCATACCTATATTCAATCTATCTAGATTTCCTCAGTTAAATATCAATAAAAGTCCTCCCTGGTTTTCTTATTCTGGGTGATTTTCTTTGAGATTATGTTTCACCTTTGTTGGCAGCAAGCTGAACATTCCCACATTATCATACTGTTTATTTTACTTTGTTTGCTAATGCACTGTCACTGCTAGGAAAACTTCACAGCTTTGAATATGAATGTAACATCTGGTTTCGTTTCAATAACATTTCATGCTGCAAATGCAAATATGATTTTTTTTGTGTACTTCAACAAAAAAGTCTCATATAGTCATTCTAATTGAAGGCTGATTTCCACATTCCGGTTCCTGAATGCCATGGCTTTGCCCTACTTTTTTCTCTCTCTCTCTTTTTTTTTTTTCTTGAACATAGATGGAAGTATAAACATGTGCTCTAAATATGTCCCATATTGCTCCTTCCATTTTGTCAGAACTTTAACCTGTAAACGTGCCATGTCCTTCATTTGTCAGATTTTGGGGACTCTGGGCAACAAGTAAAATATCTCTTTCTCTATGCTATCTGAGTTTATACATTAACACAATTTGTGACATATTATGGTATATGATTCCTCTCTCATCCAGAAAATCAAAATTACATATTCTGATAAAAGTCATACCGTGAAGACTTTTGATCACTCTTCTACACTATAAGATTTTAGCAGGCAGAGGTTTTAAAAACACATCCTGTTATGATATTTACTGAAGCAAGTGTGGAAGGCAGAGTTGCTGTCCACATATGCAATTCATAGGTTATAGATTTCTGTTTTTAGGTAATGATGCCTGGATTCATAGAAATATCCCTCACACACAGCTACAAGTTTAAGATAGTGAGGTTACGTTTAAAATAAACTTCTCCAAAAACTTTTCATGTCTGTTATAAAATAAGCCATGCAAACCACTAAAGATGCATAAACACAAACTTTTCTTCCTTCTATGAGATTTGCTTAGTTAGGAGAATTAAAACTATGTACTTACAAAGAAGAAAAATGAAAACTGAAGTCAATATATGAGGGCTAATTAGTGAGATCTTTACCAGTACTGTGGAAATCTAGAAAATAAATAAATATATTTGGTTAAGTATTTAGGAAGAAACACAAAAGAATAAAAATTGGAGTTTAGCAATGGATATTACATTTGTAACTCATGAGTAGAGAGAAGCATTCTAGGCAAAGGGAATGGATTCATAAAACGTCTGAGGGGGAGAAATTCAAGGTGTTCAAGGATGCAGTCTTCTATCCAGCATGCTTCAGCATCCTGGCAGCCTCAGACTGGCTCACAATTGTGCCCAGATGCTGTTTAGCTACACTTGGGCATGGCCTAGGGTTTTCCGGCCCTAGGGCCCATAAGAAAACGGAGCTTTGTACATTGATTCTAAAGAGCCTTGGCTATTAGCTCTGCACTATTTTCTAAGTATGCTATGATTTGAATAATATTTTGAATAATGTTGAAGCTGTATCTAGGTCATTCTAACTAGATTAGAGATTCAAGAAAATAGAGAGCTTTCAAGATGGAGTCAGTTGTTGCACATGATGTATACACACACATTTATGTTAATACATATAAATACATTATGCATACACATACATACATACACTCATTTTATCCTCAGAGCAAGCCTATTGGGTAGCAGAGTACAAGCTATTTTCTCTTTTAGTAGCTATGAAACTGTTGATGAGGATTGAGCTGCTGGTAAGTAGCAGAATCTACATCAACTTCTCTAATTCTCCTTGCAAGGCAAGGAAATGCAACAACACCACCAACAAAAAAGCTTTATAATTACATAGACTTTCTCAACATGTCATTTCTGGAACCTTCTAGTGGTGAGCATGGGAACTCCAAACTCTTACGCAAGACAGGTAAATACCAAGCATGGCTTTGATGCAAATTAGGAAATTAAAAACTCAATTATAAAAAAGGTTTATTTTATTTATCTTTTCATATATCTGTATTTAAACACACACATACTAACTATTTTAACAAACTATTCTTGGTCATCTTCATTTCTCTCTCTCAAATGCACAGGATTCACAAACTTTTTTTTTTTTTTTTTTTTAGAGAGAGAGGAGCTTGCTGTGTTGTCCAGGCTGGAGTGCAGTGTCACGATCACAGCTCACTGCAACTTTCACCTCCTGTGCTCAAGCCATCCTCCCACTTCAGCCTCCCAAGTAGCTGGGACTACAGGTACACACCACCACACCTGGATGATTTTTGCATGTTTTTAATAGAGACCAGGTTTTGCTGTTTCCCAGGTTGGTCTCAAACTTCCAGGCTCAAGAAGCCCTCCCACGTCAGCTTCCCAAAGTGCTGGGATTAAAGGCATGCTCCATCACACCTGGCCAAAACCTGCTTTTTAAAAGGGTTTCTTCTTTATGTTTTGATATTTAAAAAAAAAAAACCTTGAATCTGGAAACATTTCTAATAATGTATTCTACCTCTCGCAATCAATTGTGAATACACTTTTTAAAAACTCTGTCATAAATTACAACAAACTGCTTGATATTGGAATATTTGAATGTTTGACATTTTGCATTTCTGTGCAAATTGACTACATTTCACTCTTATAGACTTTTTTTTTCAAAAAAAGAATTTAAGGTTTGCAATGTTAAAAGAAAACCTTAGCCAATTAAATTTAACAGTATTTAATTGAGCAAAGAACGATTTGTAAATCAGGCAGACTCCAGAGCCAGAGTCGGGCTCCAATGTAGTCCTGTAGTGGAAGGTTTATGGACAGAAAAAGGAAAGTGCTGTGCAGAAAATGGAAGTGAGATACAGAAACAGCCAGATTGGTTACAGCGTGGCACGCCTTATTTCAACAGGATTTGGACAGTTAGCCCCCTTTGATTGGCCAGCCTCAGTGATTGGCACAAGAGTAGGTTGTAGTCTGTTTACATCTTTATTTAGGTTATAGTTCACTATGTACAGAGAAAC